TTAACCTTTTGTGGAACTGCCCAACTTTTCCACAGTGGCTGCATTTTTTATATTTCTCCCAGCAGTGCACGAGAAATCCTGATTTGTACACGTTCTCACCAATGCTTGTTATCACCTGCCTTTCGTTTCTAACTCTCCTAGTGGTATTTCAGTGTGGTTTTGATTTGCATTTCCCCGGTGGCTCATGATATCGAGTGTTTTTATGTGTGCTTATAGGCCATTCATGTATCTTCTTTGGAGAAATGTCTATTCAGATTCTTGCACATTAAAAAAAATGGGTTATTTGCCATTTTACTATTGAGTTTTAATAGTTCATTACATATTACAGACCTGAGTCCCTTTTCAGATGTATGATTTGCAAATGTTTTCTTTCAATCAGTGGGGTGCCTTTTCTCTTTGTCGATGGTACTCTTTGATAAAGAAAGCATTTTAGCAACAAAAAAACAGAGAAAAATGGTAGAAAATCTTTTAATTATTCTACTGAGTGTTCAGAAATACTGAAGGTTTTTCCCCATTCAGTCTGTCCCAAAGTCAGGCTGGTTAAGTCTTCTACATCCTGCAGTTTTGAGAAGCGGGAAGTTCTCATTGTGGAGAGGTAGGAACCTTTTATGGTAGCAGTACAGCCTCGGGAAGAATTTTCCCTGGTTCTCCTATATCTCTGACGTAAAGTGCTGCAGCAACTGGATCACCTTACAGATGTGTGTGTCAGTCTCTGGACTTGGTGGGAGTTTTTTAAAAATGATGACCATTGTATTTACTTCACATAGTGGGTTCCCACTGGTATTGATAACAGCAAAGAATGCAGCCAGGAAAATGAACCTTCACAAAGTACATATATTTACTGTAAGTTTATTAAAAAGTAATTGAAAGTTTCGTATTTGCATGGGCCTTTGTAGTACATTGTTTAACAGGTGCTTCTAGCTGAGTTGGTTATCATAAGCACAGTGTCTTAGAGAGGGAATGTGGCATTTTCCCTATAGTGGTGTTTGAAACCTTCAAGGTATGCAGTGATGAATTTAAACTAGAAAGCAAAGGTGTTTATATGAAGATTTGAGAGGCACAGTAATTGGGGAGGAACTTGATTTAGTAGTTATTTTGGGAGAACCTTGGGGTGCACTGATTCAAGTCAGTACTTGATGGTTGACTGTGTAAGGCATAGTTTTATGGGGCTGAAAGAGAGATGGAGGAAATCCTGTGTCGGTTAGAGAAGAGAGGGAAATCCCTGCTAGGTGGTAAGATGGTGTCCAGAGACAAGAGAAGGCTGTATGTTAGGTGTGACATTTGGTTGGGCCCAGAAAGCTTTTCATGCTTGAGCACAGGTGAGTGGAGAAGGGTGGTAGGTAGAGAGTGCATCATGGGCTCAGAAGTCAGCGCACCCTGGGCTCCTAGAGTGCGAAATGCTAGGTGACAGGTAGCATTTGAAGCCATTCTAATTCCTAGCTAAGGAGTTTGGCCTTCATTCTGAAGGGCTGCTGACCTTTCGAAGGGTTTGGAACCAGGAGGCTGATGTTGACCCAGGGAGTTCTCGTGCAGAGCAGGGTGTCAGGCACTGGCGTCCACTGAGGCAGAGGCAGGGCTAACACTGGAAGCAGGTGTGTCCTCTGACAGTTCTTTCTAAAAACTTGTCATCCTGATAGTGATGATTACAGCTGCCACTTACCGATCAATTTCTGCATTACATTCACGGAGCTAAGTTACCCATCCTTATGGTCACTGATGTACGTATATTATTGACCCTGTTGTAGGATGAAGAGGGTGAGACTCAGCAGAGGCTAGATACACTGCTCCAGGTCGCATGGCTGAGCGGCAGATCTGGTATTCAGATTCAGGGCCATCCGCTCCCAAGTTCACTCCACCAGTACAGCTGCACTCGGCCTCTGTTGCTCCCTGCTGACGCCATGCTGCAGAGCACCTTTTCTAGGAGCCTTGCTGCCCTGCATGCTCTGCTGAGCTCTCAGCTCTCATATTAACACTGCGGGTGTTCCAGGCCCAGGTACCCTGGCACACTGTTCTCCCTATTATGTGTTTACTACTTTATGTGTTTCCATGTACCAGAGTGGGTACCTCACGCCTGTTGTGTGCTCTGGGCTAGCTGTGACCCTGGGGAAGCCGACAGTGCCTGGATCTGTAAGGTGGTAGGTGAACTGCATGGCCTCTGAACCTCTTCTCTCCTGAGGTTCGGCATTGACGGGAATAGTGGCTGTGGGTGATAAGGGAAAACCCTTTCTAAAATGGCCAACAGTCTCGTCCGTCCCCACCCCCAGGCTTCCCCTGTTGCCATCCTGCTATGTTCCCTCGTGCCAGCCAGAAGGGGCTTTCCCCCGCCCTAAGCAGGGTATCGCTGCCACGTAGGCAGAAGCATGGGTGGTGTATAATTCCTTGCCCGATTGTGCTCGGCGCTCAGACTCTGGAGTTGGACTCCTCTGGGCCTGCTGGCGTAAAACAAACCTCCTGAACCCCGAGCCTCTGAGTGCTGCTTGGTCTTTCCTTCAGGTGAACGTCCCCCTTCCACAACATAGGATTCTTGGACAGCAGGGAGAGTGTAGTCGAAGGACCAGTTGGTTTCTCAGTCACATTCATGCTCATTAACCTTCTGATAATCTGGCTTCACAGACCTTAGGTTCTGTTGCACCTCCAGGAGCTACAGGTGTGGCCACCCATCTGAGTTGCTAGAATTTAGGACTGCTCCATTTTCAGAGTAGCCTCCTTGGTCACTTTCTGCATCTTTTGGCCTTTGACTCTCACCCTGCCCCCATTTTCCCTGTGATCTCTATCCATTCCTATTTTCTTTTACTGCCTGGAACTGGCCCCCCCCACTCCAGACCATTTAAGTCAGAATCTGGCAGGGGGGCTGAAGGCACTGGCATTTGGTCAAAGCCCCTCTAGTGGTGGGTTTTCTACGCAGGGCTGAGCCTGCCGCCTGTCTTGCAGCTGCTGCCTGCCCCCTTGGCTCCCTTTTATGACCAGTCTAAGCAAGCATGAGTGGGGCAGGGGATCCTAGCACTTGTAAGGAGCACAGCACTAGTGCACATTTGTTATGTTCTGTTTCCAATTTCTAGTGAAAATTTTGTGGGCATTGTAATTTTTATAGTGGTTCACTCTAGACTGTTTTGTATCCCAGACCTGTGAATCTCTCTGCTTGACATGATAACTTACTGTCAGAGGACTACAGTTACAATTAAAATACACTACTAAGAGCGCTGCATTTGAATTCCATGTGAGTTCCAAAAGGAGTGGAGATTGTGGAGTGGTATATTTGGCAAGTTTTTATTAGACATGTATATATTTATATAAACGTTCAAGCACAAGTAAAGACCGGAAGGTTCCATATTAAAATATTCAATGATTATGAGAGGTGGCATTACAGATCATTTCTGTTTTCATACTTGCATTATACATTTTCTGTAGTGACCATGTATTTCTTCTATATATTTATATTTTAAAAACACACCTTAAAAATAAAGTATACTCTTGACAAAGTAGGGGTGTGTGAATGTGTGTGTTATTTTTAGCTCTGGAGGCTAAACTATTCTGTGGGGATATTGAGAATAGTACATACTGAGACTGAGGCAATCACAAGGCCTAGCACACAAAAGCTGGGATTCGATCCTTGTTTGTTTTGTTTTTGCTTATTGTAGCTAAGCTAAACTCGTCCAAAATGGTTGGCATTTTTCTTTGTTGAACAAGTGTCATGAGACTGTTAGTCCATATCGGGCCCCAGAAGATGATGACATTGATAATTTACTCTCTTTGTTTTTAATACCAATGGGTTCATTTTAATGATAGTATCTGTTATTGGTGGTGAATGTTGACTTAATATAATATCTGTTCATCTTTTTGCATTGGTTTATTATTGGAGTTTAACAGGTGCATTTTAATTTTAAATAAGACAATAAGAATAAGTAGTTTAGGCCACAACTTAACAGTAGTTATTTCTGGGTACTGTTGTCAAGTAATTTTAATACTATTTAAAAAGGAGAAACAAAACTCTCAATGACTAACAGGTGTTTAGTATGTACCTGTCCTTTTGTCAAAATAGCTTCCTTTAAAATAAAGTGGGAGAACCTATTGCCCAAATAATGGGAAAACAGCATTGTGTGGAAATGTCTCAGTAGGAGGGTTTTTCTGAACTGCTGTTGGGCTGATCCTTGGGGAAATGTGGCTGTGAGCATGCAATTATTACATTTTTACCCACAGAATGGGCTCAGGTTGGCATCTCATCCCCCATGGTTGCCAGAGGCAACAGACTGATTTAATTTGTGTGCCTGTGGCAGACATTTTTTAATAATTTCAGTGATTTTTTTATGCTACATTTTTTATTTCCTTTATAGTTTGCTACCTTTTGTTGCTCACCGCTCTTGCTGATTGCTTTCTGAGGCATCTTGCGTTGGTTGAGGAGAGTGAAGTGATTGAAGGTCCAGCCAGTTGTCTGAGAGGCAGCCACTCTTGTGTCCCTGGCCAGTCCTGGGTCAGTGAGGGTTTAATGGCTGTCATGGGCCAGCTCACCGTGACTGCCATCCTCTCACAGATTGACAAAAACAGAGCAAATCTTAGTTGGGCATGTTTGAAACTTGACTTGGACCCTGAAAAACATAACCTAAGAGAGCTGCACGTGGGGATTTTGAATTCTTTTGGTGTAGACTTGAGATTTCTCGAAGGACTCACCTCCGCTGTTCTCTTTCCTGCTTGTGCTTTTGATGTTTTTGTTCTGCTAACTGTTGTTTAACATGAAGGATACCTGATACACCTAATTTGAGTGTAGATGTCTTCTAGCTAAGGGGTCCCCAACGCACAGGGGAAAGCTGGCCTGATCCCTGCTGACTGCGGAGGGCTGGCCCCATCACTAGCCTGCGTTACTTACGGGCTTTGGGATCTTCCTGAACGGTGCTTGCACGTGCAGAAGCCACTTTATGTCATAGATGTTTGTTTTACAAGTACATCCTTAAGATAATCAGAAAGGGGAGAAAAAGTTAATTCTCATAACATTTATTTTAATGCAGAGTGGACACAAATATCTACCAGGTATCTTCGAGAGCAGCTGGCCAAGATTTCTGACTTTTACCACATGGCTTCTGGCACCGGTGATGGCCCTGTCCCTGTGCCACCAGACGTGGAGCAAGCCCTGAAGCAGTGGGAGTACAACGCGAAGCTGGCGTTCCACATGTTCCAGGTAGCTCCTGAGGATAGCAAAGGCTGCCAGCATTCTAAGAGAGCAAATTCTTATAATTTAGTTTTCTGGGGTTAAATTGAATCTTTCTGTGAACCAGTACATTCAAAGAAAGCCATCTGACATTTCTCACATTGAGTTGGAGTCAAGGTAGCACCTGAGCCCTGAGAAGACAGCTTTTTATTACACATATTGACCTCCAGCTTTATTGTCAGCTCTTTTAATGCTGTTACTTTGTAATTGCACTATTAAATATGTGCAATTAAACCTTTTAAAACTTTTCTTTTGCAAAAATTGGACGTATTCATTCAAAGAAATATTTCTGCTGATGTCTCATAGATCTCCTTTAGAGCTTAGTTATTCCAAAGATAGGTCATTTTAATTTGGCTCAGCTGCAGTTTAAAATGCATTTGAGGGGGCCTGTAAGGGCATTGGGGCACCAAACTGTCATCCTGACAAGTTGGTGTAATTCATATTGACCAGAAGAGGGCACCTGTGCCTCAGTCTTTACTCCTGGCAAGGAGGAGGAAGCATGTGTATTCAGCTGAAACTGTATTGCTGGCGCAGACTTTCACTACCTGCTATCTTGGCCAAAGAGGAAGGAGATTGGAAATGATGTGTGGCTTCTAAATTTCCCCCTTAGAACTTTGTTTGTAATTTCCAACTTGTAAGTGATTTTTTTCTAAGAGCTCAAAGTAAGAAGAAACATGGTGCTTTTGAGAAGTAGCATTGTTAAAGTCAGTAAAAACACTCTTTACAAATCCTAGCTCCACTTACTAGAGGACCACTTCAATGCCTGCTCTGAGCTCTTCTTTTATTAAGCTGAGGATTTAGTCTGCATCTTTTAAAATGTGTCTCTCAGTGTGCTTACTGTCTTTGGAAGGATTTTTTTATAAGGAGCATTGAAATGAGTATGTCTTTTATAGAAAGCAATTAGTAAACTGATTGGAATCTACTTGGAACATTCATGCTAAAAATTAAAAGTTCATTATAATTTTGATTTGCTATAATCTGAAATATGAAACCAATCCTGGTATATACACGTGCAGAAATAAGGGCATGGGTCCAGAGACAAAAGCACCTTGAGGATGGACTGTTATGTGATCACTGACAATCATATTGATGAAGGTTCTTTTTATTTTTTATTTTTTTGGAATCTTGCATTCACCATCTCTTATACCTTAATGCAAAATTCCATTTTATTTCTTTTTTTGTTAGGTTAATGTTCACTTTACTGGTTTTAAAGTTTTAAATTGCAGTTTTCTATGACTAACCCTTTTAAATACTTTTTGACTTTCAACATTTAAATAGTTAGAAATTAGCATTAAGTAAATATCTTGATATCATATCAGTGTGGTGTTATTGTAATCTTATAAATACCATAATTTATCAGTACAGTATTTTCACACAAATTGTTGATAGCCATGGCCGTGGACCACTGGTAATACATAGATCTGTCAAAGTTGCTAGGAACAAAGTAGGAATTCATATTAACTAAGGTTGTTACCAGAATGACCATGACGTATGCATCTTTCCCAGAAAACATAGCTTTTTGTTTCTATCTTGAAGTTTCTTTCATGATGTGAATCTTGATACAAAACTATAATATGACATCAGATGTGTATGTGCAGGGACTGTCATAAAATAATGTATTTATATGTACGTATATGTGAAGGCAGTAGACAAAAATGTTAGTGCTTATGTCGAGGGTCTGTACCACCCCTGTGGGGCATTTTGGAACTTTGTAGGTATGCTGTTGTTTTTTAGTGTAGTTATGTTGGAATATTTATACATTACAGTATTTTATTATAAATTCCTTTTATTTCTTTCTATTATAGTTAGTTATGCCATTATATTTTTTGAGGATATATTTTACAGGTAGGTTATAGTGTCTGAATTTCATTTTAGGATAGAGGAGACTGTTAAGGGGCATTGGATCTGATAGGATTGTCATCTTCTGGTGAGGATAATGCTATGATGGTGCTTCTGTTCTTTGGAAACCTGTCACCATTGGCCAGGTTTCCTCCTGGGAAGATGAGTTTATATACCACGAAATCTAGCCAGGTGCTTCATACATGCCTTGGGAGTCTTGAATTTTCTTTCTTGTAGTAATTGTTTTTTTTCCAATTTAGAATGAAGCAGAATACCAAAACCAAAAACAGCAACAATAATAAAAAAACACCCCCAGACCAACCACACAAAGTAATATTAGTTCTTTTTGTTTGGAATTTGGACTATGATCAATGAGTTTTATACAACAAAAACAATAGTAGTAAAATTACGCCTAAGCATAAGAATAACAGTGCTTTTTGCATTTTAGTTTGTTTTGCTTTAACATTATTAGTGTAACTTTCCTTTGTTCATTTAAGGAAGGAATGCTAGAAAAACACGAATATTTGACATGGATCTTGGATGTTTTAGAAAAGATCAGACCGATGGATGATGATCTTCTTAAACTCCTGTTACCATTAATGCTGCAGGTACAGTACATATCACCACAAGCCAGTTGATTTTACGGGTGGGAAATGATCTGATAGGAATGACTAGGTAAGTAGAGGTGGAAGAGGAAAAACTTTCATTTTGAAATGGAAGGAAAAAATACATTGATGCTGCAACACGTGAAGTCATAAGAGGCTTAGGTTCCAGCAGTCGTTGGTAATGGCCATGTTCATAGTTTTAGCCACATGTCCCTTTTAAATATTCTCACCCACATTGATTTCTCCCCTCACTGAGCTAAGCAAACAGCTCTTTAAGTACTCTCTCCCTGTTGACAGGGATGTCTGTGAAAACAAACAAGTTCTCTCTTTTTAAGGACACAGGATCTTCTGCATTTGTTTGACATGTTTTGAGCCACTAGGATGGGAACTTCCTATTTTAATGATTGGTCTAAAATCTGTTAAAACATAGGTTATCTTGATGAAATTTATTTAAAAAAATAAAGTTTTCTTGGAAAGGTAATGCATGTACTTGATTATTCAAACAATACAAGAGTTTCTAATGAAAAATCATCTTTTTCTCGCCCTGTGCACCCTCTCAGAGACTGCCCCACGCTGGCATCCTGTGTCCTCTCCCACGTGCCTGGGTCTGTGCTGTCCAGTAGAGCAGCCACCAGCCTGATGTGGCTGTTAACTGTTGAACTGCGACAAATACAAATTGAGATGTGTTCTGAGTATAAAATACACACCAGATTTCAGACTTAATTCAGAAAAAAAGAGTATATATAATGTCCCAGTACTTCTTGTTTTGATGACATTTTGAAATGATAACATTTTGGCTATATGAGGATATGTAAACTATATTATTCTTTTAATTTTACCTTTGTTTTTTAATAAAAATTTAAAATTACATATGTAGTTTGCATTACGTTTCTGCTGGACAGCATGGGTCTGTACAGTACCTTTGAAGGTTTTTTTGTTTGTTTGTTTGTTTTTAAATAAAAAAATGTCTGTATTACAATAGTTATTTCACCAACATGACTGAGTCTGGGGTCCTTGTACTTCTCAGTATTCAGATGAGTTTGTTCAGTCGGCTTACCTGTCTCGTCGTCTTGCCTACTTTTGTGCCCGGCGTCTTGCCTTGCTGCTGAGCGACAGCCCCAGCCTCCTCGCTGCCCACTCGCCCCACATGATGATAGGGCCAAACAGCTCGAGCATTGGGGCCCCCAGCCCTGGCCCCCCTGGCCCTGGCATGAGCCCCGTGCAGCTGGCCTTCGCAGATTTTCTGTCCTGTGCACAACATGGTCCCCTCGTGTATGGACTTAGTTGTATGCTGCAGGTAAGTCCTTGGACCTTGTTACTTTGTGTTAAATTTCAGTGTAGGAATAACTGGTGGGAACTGCAGCAGCTTCCACATTGTAGCTCTAGATTTTCCTCAGCCACGCGAGTTATAGATGGAAATGCCATCTTTTTATTTCCCTATGTTAGATCAAGTGGGCAGAGGAGTTGCTTTAGCCTAGAGGAAAGTTATTGTAGTTGCCCTTCATGAGGGCCATTACATAGTTCAGTGGTTAAGTCCTTTAGGGAATCCATAGAACAGGTCAGCGGTATCACTGCTCTGGAAGGTCAGCTTCTTCCTGCAGCCTTCATCAGCTTCCTTGGTTTGTATCCTGAGTGCCTGCCTTTTCTCTCTTTAAACCCAAGCAGTCCATCCTGCTCTGTTCCGCCCAGCATCACTGCTGGTGGGTGTGGACATCCCACAGTGAGCCAGTCCCCGGGCTGATGCTGTCAGGAATGAGGTACAGCCCTGCCCTATGGACCTCCCAACTTAGTGTTCAGGTCATACTTCTTGGGCTCTTAATGTGCCTTGCTCTGGGCTAAGAGGCTTTGGGACAGGCCTGGCCATGAAGACACGGTCTCCACTCTGTAGAGTTTGCTGCTTTGTCAGGGAGACAGGCTGACAAATGGCAGCTTCTAGAGACTCTGACAGGGCTGATGAAGGGACGCACAGTGAGCGGAGGGAGTTGAGAAGTAGAATTTCTGGTCCCACCTAGAATTCAGGAAAGCTTCCTGAAGGACATGGTCCTGACTGGCACTTATAATATGAGCTTTACAAAAAGGTGATAGAGTGTTCCTGGCAGAGCTAACAGCAGGGCCGACGCCTGGAGGGCTGGTTGGTCCTCTTGTATGCAGGTTGGTATTAATGGAACATAGAGTATAACATCTGTTGGACGTTAGGGCATGGAAGACCTGTGTGCGCCTTATGATTGGATGTCACTGGAGGATTTTGTGCATGGAAGTGGCACAGCCAGTGTGTGGGTTGGATAGATTGTTTTAGCCACAGTAGAGGGATGATTTGTGGGAGTGAGGAGATAGGGGCGAGAGAGACAAGGCAAAGAAATATTTGGAAGAGTCTAGGTAAGTTCAATTTTGAAATGTTTTATCCCTTAGGATCTCCAAGTGGGTATTTTCAAGAGGTGGTTACGTGTCTGATTCTGTCTCCTGAGCGAAGACAGCCAGGCACGTGTGGATTTCAATCATTCAGGGCATGTGGCTGAGGGGGTGAGGCCACCTAAAGAATTAGTGGTAAGAGAGGCCTGTGGACGGAGGGGCATGAGTGGTTAAGAGACAGCAGAGGGGATTTTACAGGGGTGACCAGGAAGGCTGGGCCAGCCTGGAGAGAGCACGGGAGAGAATTTATTATAGAAACCAAGACCCGAAAAAGACACTGTCATCACCCTGTTATAAGCATAGCATGTGTTACATTCTAGGCACGGTTCTAATTTGTAACATACTGTCATCTAGCTCTCAGAACCTTCCTATGAGATAGTAACCTATATAATTTTTGTAACGCTAATAATGAAGTGGGGGCAGAGGTCACACCTCAGGTAAGTGGCAGAGCTGGAATTCAAACCCAGGTGGTCTGGATCCAGAGTCCACCCTCTAAACAACCACTCTCAACGGCTTCTCTAGGTACTGCAGAAAGTTTCAAAAAGGAGTTAGTAGTGGGCAGTGCCCAGTGGGTTGGGGAGGTCTGGTGAGAGGGTGGCTGAACTTGCCTTTGACAGTGTGGTGGGGTCATTGATGATCAGTGGGATGTGGGGTGAGAGAACAGGTTAAGGTGGGTTCACAGGTGATGCAGAAAGAGATGAAATAATGCTCATGTTAGCTTGAGAAACGTGTATATGAAGGGAAGACATAGAAATTGCTGCTTGGTGAATGGAGATTTTTTTTAAATTGTTTTTTGACAGACATATTTCTAAGTGAAGTGTAGAGGGAGAATCTGAGAATAGGAGTACTTGATAGGTCAGTGCTCTGGATGTGGGAGGCTTTGGAACTAAGAAGGCACGGAGGAGCTCTGTCAGGGACAGGAGGCGGGAGCCCCAGTGTCATGGGTGGGAGGAAGTGGGGAGGGGGTGTGCCCGTGGGGACGAGCATCAGAGGCTCAGAGACTTGAGGGTCCTCCTGTCTGCCATCTAGTTTCCACGGGCATGCCTCCACGCCTCAGGCTAGTGTTTTTATTTTTAAATTAACTTTCTAGAAAAAGGAAATGTTGCATTTATTCTCAGCTCTCTTTTTGCTGTTGGGAGGCATGATAGCAGAATGGTTAAGACATATACTTTAAAATCGTTTCAGACCTGACTTTAGCCTCTGCTCTGCCAAGTAGTAACTTTGACATTAAGGCTCTGTTTCCCTAAGAGTGAATGGGTGGTGGTGACAGTTCTTATTGCCAGATGGGGCTAAGGTTGTGACGACAGAAAGCTTCCGGAACAGTGTTCAGCAGAGTATGTGTTGAATTAAATGTGAGCTGTACTGTTTAATTTGCATTTAGGAGGCAGCAGGATCAGTGTAGGAGCTCCAGTTATGTGTACTGAAATCAGTCTGGGTCTGTTACTAATCTCTGTGTCTCACGATCCTCTTGCATACAGTTGCATCATGGGGTTGCCGTGATGTAGAAGTCAGGTGGTCATGGAATGTGCTTCCTGCAAGCTGGCTGAGGAACACAGTTGTTGTAAGGGCTCAGCCAGGGCAGACAAGCTACAATCCGAGGGCCAGGCCCAGCTCATGAGCTATAATAGTTTCATGTTTCCAATGAGTTATTAAAACAGAGAAAGAAGAATATGTGACAGACTATTGAGGGCTGGAAAGCTCAAAACATTTACTGTCTGGCTTTTTATAGAAAAGTTTGCCAACCACTAGTCCGGGGTTACTGCCTGCCCAGCATTGATGAAGCTCCTTACTGCACCATTACTTGAAATACTTAAAAAATTCCTTTTTAGAGTTCATAACCTTAAAAATTACACATTTAATTCCATCTCATTTTTAAACATTTCATTAAAAATTGTTTTAAGTGACAATTTTTAAGTGATGATTACTTCATTTTTATTGTTTCCTAGGTTTCCTGTACTAGATAGTTTCTCAATACTATGCTTTCTTCCTTTCAAGTGAGCAATTCTTACTTAGTTTTGTCCTTTCACTTGAAAAGTTGAGAATGGGGTAAGATGTTCATGTTTGAAACTCAGTGGTGAGAAACTGGACTAGTCATGACAGGCGTCATTTTTACTGCGAAGCTGCTGTTAAACTTTTCCTTTCTCTTACTGTCTGGATTTTCCCACTTTCTCTCCAGACTGTCACCCTTTGTTGCCCAAGTGCCTTGGTGTGGAATTACTCCACAAATGACAGTAGGAGCATGAACCCGGGCTCGCCCCTGGATCTGCTGCAGGTGGCGCCCTCCAGCCTCCCCATGCCTGGTGGGAACACAGCCTTCAATCAGCAGGTGGGCTTCTTGTTGCGGTGCTTTGATGGAGGTTCTCATTCTTGAGAGTCGCCAGAGCGTAGTGGGCCAATTGGGTTTTAACCTCACATGCTTGGGTGCCATTCCCATCTCTACCCCCTCTCTCTGGGTGGCCATGGGGGAAGTGTTTAGCCTCTTGAACCACAGAAGTTCATGTTGCTCCCTTTCTTCTCACCCTCTTGCTGGGCAGTTCTTGCAGAGTTCTGCCACCTGGATAATAATTATGGTGGCGGTTCTATATGACCACAGCTCTCACAGTAGTAGTCTGTGATATTTAGTAATTATTATATGTTTTTATTAGTGCTGGGTCATTTGGTTCAAAGACTTAAAAAACTTGAACCAAAGAATGGTGACTGATATTTAGAATAAAGTCCCTGTTTTTCAAAGCAGTCTTAAGTTACTGAAACATGGCTGGTTGCTTCCATACATAGAAGAATGGCTCATAGATGATATTTAGAACTTTCACCCTTCTCTATGCGGCCCTAAAGATTGTCACTTATAAGGATTTTTTGCAAGCATTTATTTTTGTGAGCATTTATTATTGAAAACTGTCATGGAATCACTTGTAAATTTTAAAATGCACTCTTGGGCAACAGGCTGAACTTCCTACAATGCAGTGAAGACTGTAGTTCACCATAGGATGCTCTGCTCATGTGGAAAAACCTGACATGATTTAGACAACCATGGTGGCTCTCCAAGCACAAGTTAATCAGAAGCGCTTATTTTTCAGGTTCGGGCAAGGATTTATGAGGTAGAACAACAGATAAAACAAAGAGGCCGTGCAGTGGAAGTTCGGTGGTCTTTTGACAAGTGCCAAGAGTCAACAGCAGGTACAGAACACAATGGGAGGAGTGCTTTTGGATGTGGGACTTTTTATGCCATGCTTCTGGTTCTTGTCAGCCAGTCAGCATATCGGATAAGAGTGCTCCCTGATGGAGCCACCTCGTGAGTCCTGAGCATGGTCTTTAGTTTATGCCCTTAAGATCCTGTGTGTCTAGCATCAGGTTTGGTTTTATTGGGCAGTTCTTCTATGCTGAGAATGATTTCTTAAAATCTCTTTTGTGCCACATAATGAGTTTTGTACTGTGCTGTTTGGCTTCATTCAGGCGCTTTAACTGCTTGCTTACTTTCCGCTTCTAGGGGTGACCATTAGCCGGGTGTTGCACACACTGGAAGTGTTGGATCGACACTGCTTTGACCGAACTGATTCCAGCAATTCAATGGAGACACTTTATCATAAGATTTTCTGGGCTCACCAAAATAAAGATAACCAAGAGGTAGTTATTTTTTTCTTCTTTTCACCTTTTATTAGTATGTTTTTTTCTTTTTCATTCAGTAAATTTTGCAAAAGCCTTTTCAGTGAAGTGTAATATCTTGTGAAGGGGTCTTCACCTGAAATCATGCTATTATGGGACTAAAAAGTCCCACCATTATAAAAATGAAATGTCCATTGGTCTGGTCCGCCTAGGTATATTGATTGGAAAGATTTTCCTTTGTCCTTTTATTGTCATTCCCCATCATTTTAGTTTTAGCAGAATAGCCTTCATCTAGTGATTGGACTTTCTACAGTGGTTTGGCTTTAACATAGAGGAGTAATAGATTTAGCACATTAGAAAACAGTGACTGGATACTTGTGTCTATGGTCTTTGAGAAATCTATAGACAGTGTATTATTATACAGATTCTCCAGAGAAACAGAACCCATAGGGGGAAATTACATATATAAATTACATGTATTTTATATATATATGTGTGTGTGTATATATATGTGTATGTGAGAGAGTTTTTACAGTCATTGGCTGCATACTGATGTTTCGATCAATGACAGGTTGCATGTATGACGGCCGGCCCATAAGATTGTAATGGAGCTGAAAAATTCTTATTCCTTAGTGACATTGTGGCCATTGTAACGGCGCAGCAGAATGAGTTACTCACGTGTTTGTGGTGATACTGGCGTAAACAGACCTACTGTACTGCCTGTCATATAAAATTATAGCACAAAAGTATAGAACATAATACTTAATTGATAATAATAAAATGACTATGTCACTGGTTTATGTATTTGCTATACTTTTTATTGTCATTTTAGAGTGTACTCTTTTTACTTATAAGAAAAAGTTTCGTATAAAACAATATGCCATATTAAGCCAGCAGCAGCCTCATACATCTCGTGTTTACCATGTCCAATTGCATCATTTTCTCTTGTGCTTGATTGAATCTCATGTTGTTTTGTATAGTAACATGCTGTACGGGCTTGTAGCCCAGGAACAATAGGCTATACCATGTGCAGTAGGCTATACCATGTGCAGTAGGCTATACCATCGAGGTTTGTGTAGTGCACGTTGATGTTTGCACGGCGACAAAATTGCCTACTGACCCATTTCTCAGACTGTATCCTAGTTATTGAGTGATGTATGACTGTATTTTAAGGAATTGGCTCACATGATTATGGGGGCCGGCAAATCTGAAACATGCAGGGCAGGCCAGCAGGTTGGGGATCCAGGGAAGAGCTGATGTTGCAGCTTGAGTCTGAAGGCAGCCTGGGGACAGAGTTCCTTCTTTCTTGGGGAACCTGTATTTTATCTTAAAGTCTTTAACTGATTGAATGAGACCCACCCATGTTATGGAGGATAATTTGCTTTACTAAGTCTACAGATGTAAACATTATTCACATTTTAAAAAATGCCTTCATGGCAACATCTAAATTGGAATTTGACTCCAAGACTGGATACTGTAGCCTAGCCAAATGACACACAAAATTAACCGTCACACAGCCTGGCCATCGTGGCTCAGTGGTTGAGCATCGACCTGTGATCCAGGAGATCACGGTTTGATTCCACGTCAGGGCACATGCCTGGGTTGTGGGCTTGATCCCCAGTCGGGGGTGTGCAGGAGATGGCCGATCAATGACTCTCTCATCATTGATGTTTCTATCTCTCCCTCTCCCTTCCTCTTTCTGAAACCAATAAAGATATATTTTTTTAAAAATTAACCATCACACAGACAATTTTTGTCATATGTTTTCCTAGTAATAGATTGTTTCATTACTGAACTGATCTATAAACATTGAATTTTCAGTTACTTTTTTCCAACCCTTATTTCGGGAGAGATAAAAAATTTGTGATCTTTTTACAATGGAAAGCTCCTGTGGTAATTCCACATCATGCTAGGCACCAGGAATGCAGAGGTAAGTTTTAAGACATGCCCACCTTCATGGAATTGCTGTAGTTAACTGATTCTAAGTATCTTTGGTTTTCACATTAGCGTTTGGGATTACATATGGGGAAAAAAGAGATAAAAAGAACCGCCACAAACCTTTTGTTGTCCTACCTTCATGTGAACTTGATGTGAACCTTTTCTAGATTTTTTCTCTTTCTGGAATATTTGTGGGTCAGCACTCTGCTTCTCAAAGATAAGACTTAAGACTCGATGCCAAGTAGGGTATCAGAATGTTGCCATAAGGCACATAGACTGAGTGTAATTTCTGACTCATGAGCCTAAATGGAAATGCTCCAGTCCTTCTGGAGAGCATACTGATGATAAAAGTACATAATTCTTTGCTCATTGACACAGGAGAATGTTACTGGGTTCTTCTGGGGTGGACACCTTAAAGTCTGTCTTTTTGTGATAAAGTCTTAGATAAAAGACTTCAAGAGTACTAAGGTTTGTAATACACAGAAGTGAGCTATCTGGAAGGAAAGTAGGGCTACCTAAGATTCAAGGTGTGTTTTGGATTGCTAACCTGCTTGCGTTAAATGTCGAGTAAAGACTACAATGTTCCTGGGTGAGGGTTTTACCTAGTCTATAAAAACCACTTCAGTTTTGTCGTCAGCCTGACTATAACTTTCTAACGAATGAAATGGCCAGCATCAGAATTCTATGCCTCATTCATGCACAGACCTAAGTTACTCACAGGCACTCTAAAGAGAAAAATCATGAGTGACTAATCAAGGACAGAAATTAAGCTTGATGTTTTTGAATAAAATTTATATTATCAGATTCTCTCTCAGGCACAGTTGTCTCCAATGTGGGTACTTGAGATGGGCCATTGGGGTGCAAGAAGAAGTGATTAGAACTTCTATTTAGATTACATTTTAAAACAACCTTACACTTACCCTGGCTGGTTTGGCTCAGTGGTTAGAGCATCGGCCGGTGCGCCACAGGGTCGAGGGTTCTATTCCTGGTCTCGGGCATCTGCCTGGGTTGCAGGTTCAATCCCTGGCCCCGGTTGGGGCATGTGCGGGAGGCAGCCAGTTGATGTGTCTCTCTTACATCAATGTTTATCTCTGTCTTCCTTTTGCCCCCACTCTCCCTCTTTTCCACTCTCTCTAAAAATTAATGGAAAAATATTCTTGGGTGAAGATTAACAAAAACAACAACTGGCTTATACTTTAAGCCAGTTCTGTTTTATCTAAGTTTTATAATGCATAATAGTTATGGTTGTATCAGTATAGAAATCAAGAAATATGTGTTTAGTGAGACTGTTCCCCCAAAAAAAATACTGAGCTGAAAGGGTGTGTGAGAAATGTTTGGAGATCCCTGCTCTTAGCTTCCTTGAGTGAGGGACTTCACCCAGAACGCTAGAGCGCATGCATGCCACTAGAGGGCAATGTGTACTCAGGGCAGAGAGTCCTAGATGCTCTAGTAACAAACGTGCTTCATTGGAAGGAAGTCCGTGTTGCCCACTTGTATTGCATGTTGACTCAACTCCGGAATGATTTGATGTGAGTGAATGGTTGCTTTGTGGTTACTATGCTGTTTTATGAGTAAGACAAAAACTACATTTTAACCTGTAATTCAGACTGGTCACCTTTTCTTAATACCATCATTGATCAGAATAACGGAATAGAGCCTTCTGAAACATTTAACAGGAAGTTATTTTTACAATATGTACTTGTGTGTGTGTGTATCAGTGTATGCATGTATATGTATGAGAATGACAATGTTGCATCTCTGTTGACTTGTCACAGAGTTTGCTGTTTTCTTGACTTTTGAGTCACTTTGAATATTTCTGGAATCCATGTATGAGCCGCACAGTTCTGTTGACTCTGCTCAGCTGTGTGACCTTGAACAAGTTACTGGTGGGCTCTGTGTCTAGTGCCCTCACTTGTTAATCTGCATAGAGCACTTGGCCTACCTATCTCTAAGGAGACAGAGCACTTTCAGAATTATGAGCACTATGTAAATATGTTTAAAGTTGTTATTGCTAATAGTAATTATTGTTAGGATTATACTAGAAGAACCAATATAGTATTATGTTGGAAGCTTTACTTCTCTGGTAAGGAGGAGTTGTGTAAAGTGGTATGGTTAGTATTCAGAAACACATCTCACTTCTTTAAAATGAACTTCCCCTTTTTGGTTTTATAATTTGCTGGGACTTAGACAGTGTTCCAGATGATAGAACATGGGATAGCCTCTGTAGTTGCAGTGAGTTTGAGGTTTGCTTTTGCTGACGTGTGTTGAGAGCTCTGGATTGCACAATCTCTCTCCTCACATCTGTTTGGGAAACTTGAACTCCACTCTCCTTGATTCCCTTTTCTCTGGAACCACTAAGGAGAAATGCTGTTCTCTCCGTTCTCTCATGGGAGGCGGAGTGCAGCTGTCCAGATGGGATGAGGGGCAGAGGTTCAGGGTTGTTGTGTAATGTCTTGGTGTTTGGTGAAAGCCCATTGAAAACAGTGCTGCGTGGGATGGAGGGATTCGAGGCCTCCACCCTGCACTGTGGTTGAGTGCCTTCACAGGGAGTAGCAGCTGACACTGCACAGGGGTGAGTCAGGCCTGTGGCCTGCTTTCAGTCACGCTCACGCCACATGAAATGCATTGTTCCTTTACCCTCCCCCCTTTTCGACTGCCTCCCAAATCCTCAGCCACTGCTTCTGTGTCAGGGTTTGAGTACTAGTGTGAGAGATCTCAACACCCTCAACGTTAGTTATTCTAGGTCGGTGCCGCTTGGTTTTCCATTTAGTGGAATGTGAGGGGTGAAAATGTCAATGCCTGGGATGAGGTTGATCCACACAGCGGCCAGACATGCACTGTGCATGGGTGGTGGGCTGCTGTGCACAGGCTGCCAGTAGGGTGGGCAGGGATATCAAGGTTTATGTGTAAACTTTCTCAGTCTTACAGCCCTCTGCAGGCCAGGGCACAGCTCTGCTGGTTGTGTTTGCTCAGATGGCTGTAACTTCCAAGTCCTGGTATGTGTTTCATACAACAGTTACTCATTTGCCTATTTAGTGTTTTAGAACCATTCCTACTCTTGGTGGTGGAGGCAGGGAAGCCCC